CATAAAGAGTAAAATGAAAACATGGAAAGAAAACATAGCTGAAAAAGTAGCACAAATACAATTCTGTCGACAAACAGCGCTCTTTAAAAAAACACAGACATTGGATGACATTAGAGGGGTAGGGTAGGTTACAGGGAATTTATTAGGTATAGCTTCGTTTTAATCTTAAACTGGTTGAGAGAGGTACAGTCTTTAACATGGTTGGGAAGGTCACTCCACAATCTGGGTCCCTTGATTTGTAGAGCATTTCTAGTTTGATTAAGTCGTACTCTAGGAATATCAAAACAGTATTTATTTCTGGTGTGGTGCTCATGGGTTCTGTTACAACCTTCTATGAAGCTTTTGAGGTCAGGATTGGCATTACAGTTTAGCGTTTTATATATGTATAATACACATGAGAGAATGTGCAGTGACTTAATGTCTAACATATTCAGAGATTTGAGTAGGGGTACCGAGTGATGTCTGGGGCCAGAGTTGGATATTGTCCTAATAGCAGCTTTGTGTTGAGTAATTAGAGGACGTAAAGGATTTTGGGTAGTAGAACCCCAAGCACAAATACCATAGTTGAGATATGGATAGACGAGGGAGTAATAGAGAGTCACCAGGGCAGGGCGGGGTACATAATATCTGATCTTAGAAAGAATGCCAACAGTTTTTGAAACTTTTTTTGATATATTTAGAATGTGGCCCTGGAAATTCAGCTTGTGGTCAATGAGAATGCCAAGGAATTTGCCATCTAATTTGTTACAAATTTGGGTATTGTTTATTTTGAGATTTATTTGATTAGAGGATTTATTGCCAAACAGAATATAGAAAGTTTTGTCAATGTTAAGGGTGAGTTTGTTGGCAGTTAGCCAAAGACGGACTTTATTTAGCTCAGTATTTATAGTTCACTATATTTATTTAGTTATATTTCACTATTTATATTTAGTTTATATTTATCACAGTATTTATATAGTTCACTTCATCAATATTCATAATAATAAGGTAACTCGAGGCACACAGCCTTACACTACTAAATTGTACATTTATAAATATATCCTCTAGCACGAACTTCTAATATAAATGACACGTAAATATAAATGTCCTCGTCACAGTAATCTCTTCATCAAACCACAGGTGTAATCACACACCACATATATATATCTCATGAGAGCTCTATATCATCTCCCTTCACAACTGTGTCTTACTAGAAACATAGACATTGGTGAGCCCTGCTCACGACATAGAAGATACTCTGGCTAATCGCTAACTAAAGGGGAATGGGAGGGAAATCTGAATTACCTACTTCCACCATCAATGATGTGGACTCATCCTCTGTTGAGGGTTGAATTGAAGCTCATGGTCTCGGCTCACGACTTGCTGTAGGGAACACCCCCACACACACACTCTCTGATGCTCTTCCCAGGACCTCAATCATCACCCAAAAAGTGCGTCTTCTTCGTACTGCTTCCCTCTGCAGGCTCCGTGCTCCTCCACAACCTCTTAAAGGGTTGGAGTCGGTCTCCTGGCCATCGCCGCCTCCTCACAACTACGTCTGCAGTCCTTACTCACGGCTGCAGTCATGCGTATTCCCAGCTAGTTCGTTCTTCTTCTTCCTCACGGTGAACTGGCCCAGCCACTACGTCATCACTCAACTGGTGAAACTGTACAATCGTCCCTGACGTCACTGCCCAGGCTTCACTCTTGCTAAGCACCTGTCACTGGAGCACTAGTCGCTCATTTCCCGTCAATTCCTTCTTCTGTCTGCCTCATGGAGTTCAGGAAGACCTCACAGGATGCTCGCAGACCACTGGAGATGCGTACATTCACCGAAGAGGGGCGAAAACTGTCAGACTGACAGGACCCCCTATCGCACGTCCGCCCTTGACGACGTGTCGTATCTAACTCCTGGCACCACGGGACGCGCTGCCTGGACCCCCATTCACTCGTGACGTCATACTTGCCAGGGGCGTTTCTCATTGGCTCCCAGTACCACGTCACCGTTCTTGGCCAATCTTGTGCCACTGACGTCATAACGTCTTGGTGCGAAAACGTAGGGGTCGGCGCCATCTTGGCGTCCAAAAGGGCCTAAGCCACTGGCCAAAACACTCTTCTTTAGTTAATTTCTCGCCAACGCGAGAACACCTCATGCTCCCACATATGTCAAATTGTTCTCTGGAAGGCAGAGAACGTTCGGGTAACGTAGATATGACTCTTACAGCTGGCGTGGGAGAAATATAAGGGAGAGAACACCGTCACAGCGGCTATCTTGATCCTGTCTACTAAGGCGTTGTGGCGTCTTCTGTAGGCATCGAAGTACGTCATGCAATGGCACATGACATGTGGCAAGGTTTCGTTTTGTCAGGTACATCGTCGGCAGTTCATATTTGCGTTTTGTCGTCAGGTGGCTCCAATCAGGGGTAGCAAGTTCAGTCTTGCTCGGTGTATGAAGCGCCAGTCAGCAAACGTTGTATACTCCCCCTCTCTCATGAAGTGAGAGGAAGCTTTTTCTTGTGAGACCACACACATCACTTTTCCTTGGTCTCGTAGGGTCTGCAGGCGGGCGTCGCGAAGTTGTCCGTGGTGGTTTCTGATGGTTCTGGCTACAATTCTTCTTGCAGTAGCCTTCAGGGTCTTGTCACCACATGTTATGGAGATGTTTTCTCCATCAGCTGTCCATGTCGTTTCCGTTCTTCCGGAGGCATCTCTTGCCCGAAACCAGATGGTTTGGATATTGCTTGATCTTCCAGGTAGTTCGTCCTTGGAGAGATAATAACAGACATGTTAAGGTGTTACTTCTTCCACTTCTTCTCGTCTTCTCTTGCCCACTACGAGGTGGCAGTCTTCTCTTGCAATAGCCCTTGTGTCAACATCTGGCGAGTTTAGAAGTTTGAATGCAGTGTCGATGAGGAATAAGTCGGAGTCTTCTGCTGCTAGAGGGATCCCACAGGATCCCGCTCGTGTGCTGCCATATAGGTATCCGGTTGTTGCGCAGCTTGGCAGGTAGAGAGTCTTCTTAATGTGCGGTTTCAGCGCGTCGTCTAACCTGGCCCACGTAGTCTATTTAAATTGCCAAGTTCTCATCGCAAAGACTGTCGAGGAGAAAACGAATGTCTTCAGTGCGTCGAGTCTCTGCCATGGGGCCAACTTGCTCATGAGAACTTTCTTCCCAAGTTCAATGTCTGCAGGCGGGCGTCGCGAAGTTGTCCGTGGTGGTTTCTGATGGTTCTGGCTACAATTCTTCTTGCGGTAGCCTTCAGGGTCTTGTCACCACATGTTATGGAGATGTTTTCTCCATCAGCTGTCCATGTCGTTTCCGTTCTTCCGGAGGCATCTCTTGCCCGAAACCAGATGGTTTGGATATTGCTTGATCTTCCAGGTAGTTCGTCCTTGGAGAGATAATAACAGACATGTTAAGGTGTTACTTCTTCCACTTCTTCTCGTCTTCTCTTGCCCACTACGAGGTGGCAGTCTTCTCTTGCAATAGCCCTTGTGTCAACATCTGGCGAGTTTAGAAGTTTGAATGCAGTGTCGATGAGGAATAAGTCGGAGTCTTCTGCTGCTAGAGGGATCCCACAGGATCCCGCTCGTGTGCTGCCATATAGGTATCCGGTTGTTGCGCAGCTTGGCAGGTAGAGAGTCTTCTCAATGTGCGGTTTCAGCGCGTCGTCTAACCTGGCCCACGTAGTCTATTTAAATTGCCAAGTTCTCATCGCAAAGACTGTCGAGGAGAAAACGAATGTCTTCAGTGCGTCGAGTCTCTGCCATGGGGCCAACTTGCTCATGAGAACTTTCTTCCCAAGTTCAATGTAGTCGTAGATTGAGGCGTCACCAGACATCAGTTGGAAGCCGACGGGGCGTCCCAGGAACTTGGAGTGTTCTCCACCAAGCCGATACTAGATGTCTCTTCCTTCGATCTGGAACTGGGTCTCCCTCAATCTCACTGGTGTCCGTCCTGACAAGTGCATGGAGTAGCACTTGTTCGGATTGAATGTGAGTTTTGCGGCTTGGCAGGCTCTTCCAACTGTGTCTAGTAGAGCTTTTAGCCTCTCTTGTGTCCCAGCAAGCAAAGTGATGTCGTCAGCATATGCTAGGCAGGGGTGTTTCAGGTCTGGGTCAGCTTCGAGGCCAGCATTGATTGCAGTCCTCAGAATAGCTTCGATGGCGATGTTGAAGAGGAGTCCACTAATTGGGCATCCTTGCCTGACTCCACAGTTGGCTGGGATCTCGGTCGTTTCGCCGCCAACCGTCATAATTCTAGTGGTGTTTCCATTGGTGATGCTGTTGACCACTGCAAGGAAGTCATCTCCAGCTCCCATCCTCTGGAGTGCTGCAGAGATGAGCTCAGTTGGGACTGAGCCGAAGGCGTTAGTGATGTCGAGGGAAGCGATGTAGATGTCCTTATGGCCATGCCCCATTCTTGCTGCATCCAGGTAATGTTACAAGACGAAGTTATGTTCTAGAACTCTGTCAGTTGGCATGAATCCTTTCTGGGCAGGGCACAGCACTTTGTTATCTACGATCCAGTTTCGCAATCTGGAGGAGAGGCAGCCAGTATACAACTTGTATATGGTGCAGCAGAGTGCGATGGGTCTCCAGTTTGCAATGTCGTCAGGGTCGCCTGGTTTGGGAATGAGCACTGTCCAGGAAGACTTCCAAGCCTCTGGGATCCTCTGTTGGCTCAAGCAGATGTTGAAGATTGCTGTGATCACACGGCATTCTGGGTCTGCTCGCTTCCAGTGGCTGTAGGTTAGTCTGTCATCTCCTGGAGCCGTGTTTTCTGTTCTGGAAAGACTCATTGCCACTTCTCGTTCTCTAAACTCTCCTGTGTCCATTTCCGTGCGGTCCTCAGGTGGTTCAGGAATGGCAGTGATGATGTCGAAGTTCTGGAGGGGGGTCTTGTGCACTAAGTGTGCGGTAAAGTGCTCCTCAACTCGTTCCTTGGGTATGGTGCAGCGGGCACTTTCCCTTGTCGTAATGAGTCTAATTGCCCTCCTCCGATTTCTTCTATACAGTCGTTAGATAGCGGCACAGTCGTTAACGTCGATTGGAGTTGATGTTGTCGAACTACCGTCAGTTGGGATCTTGAAGTGCTCCTGCATTGTTGTTGTTATCTGCTGCAGTAGCTCGGTGAAAGCATCCCAGTCTGGGTGGTGGAGGATATTGTGCAGGGGTGCAGAGAATTCTTCTAGTAGCCATTCTTCTTCTGCTTCATCTGGGACATTCTCCTCTTGTTGTTGGGGTTGGTCCTCTACTTCATCACCAGCGTCGTCTCCACCGTCTTCATCTTCTTGGGGTTGTGACTGGTCTTGGTGGTCTGTGTTGGAAGCTGGAGACAGCGGGGCGTTATCATCAGGCTCTGGAACAGGGCTAAGAGGTGGGAGTGGGGGTAAGGTGGGATGGGAGAGGATCGGTTGTTGAGGCAGGTGATGTTGGGTCGGGGGGCTGTCAGGTGCAGGATGGGCTGGAGAGGAGACAGGTGTGGAGTAGGCAGAGTGTCGGCTGGGTGGCGGATGAGGAGGGGAGGGGGCAGGTGAGGAATGGGCAGACTGGAGGTTGAGCGAGGAGAGGAGGAGGCAGGTGAGGACTGGGCAGGCTGTGGGTTGGGTGGGGAGTCGGGTCTGGGTCGTCGGCGGGCCACTGCATCTTGGTCTCGGTGGGTTCTGCCATGGTTGTCGAGTCCTGTTCTGGTGGAGAAGCTTGAGGTGCATTTGGGACACTGGAAGCAGTGTCTAACTACTTCTTGTTGGGGTCTGCCATCAAAGAATCGTCGTATTGTCTGGCATTTGTGTCTGGTGGGGCAGGCTCCTAAGACTTCGAAGCAACCTGCACACTTCTGAATAATCCTGGTTATTGGGAGGGTATGGATCTCACGAAGGTGGCGGGTGAGTGACTGCTGTTTGCTCGTCCATACATTTCCTGTGTATTTCTTACGGCAGTACATCTCAGGGCAGATGAAGTGAGGGGGCAGAGGGAACCATGTGGTGAGCACCTCGCCATCTCGCTGGGGTTGTCGTACTAGATTCGGTGACTGGGGTTGTGGAGGTGTCGGTCCATCTGCAGCTTCTTGGTTGTTACCGATACTTGAACGGCTGTCTCCATCTTCTACAGGAGCAAGTTGGCCGTTCCTTCCCTGGTGGATGAGTTCTTCAATGTTCTGGCTAAGGGTGCCTGGTTGGGGGTCGTGCTGGGGAGGAGGCGCGCCCAAGGGCTGGAGCTCTTCTGCCCTGGGTGGCCTCGAGGGCTGGTTCCCTTCATCAGGTAGAAGCGATGACTGTATCTCTACGTCGGTTTCTTCTCCATCTAGAGACAGCCTAGTGGTTGAATCTCTTCCTCAACTCGGGGTGGTGACTGAATCTCTTCTCCAACTACAGGCAGTGTCGGTGGCTGGATCTCTTCGTTGACTGGAGGCTTGAGTCAGGGTGGCGACGACCCGTCATCACTTCTCAATATACTTGTTGACTAGGACCTGCCTTACCCTACAGAGTTCTTCATCCACTTGCTTCCAATCAGAGCTGTGGTTGAGAGCATGGTCGACGTAAGCGTTGACAACATTCTTGCAAGGCAAGGCAAGACAACAACGTCTCTTTCCAGGCGATTAACAACAGGACTCCGTAAAGGAACATATAATCTCCTTTCACAACCAGACAATCACCAGAGAAGTCGTAACAAACAACATAGAAATCATCAATAGGTACAGCGATAGTAGGGGGCTCGACATCTGGGAGGCACTACACATCAAAAAGTCAACAACAGCAATCAACAGCCAATTAATGCACAACTATATTTTACCCACTTCAAGACTCCGAACCAATATAGAGGCATCAAGGGGAAGTATGGGCCAATAGGCCCTCTGCAGTTACTTCCATTCTTATGCTCTCGTATGCAATTAATACCCATAGTTTCGAGTTCTGTCTTGTGTTTGTCACAAGTTTGTTCACCTCCGGAGCCGGTCGGCCGAGCGGACAGCACGCTGGACTTGCGATCCTGTGGTCCTGGGTTCGATCCCACGTGCTGGCAAGAAACAATGGGCAGAGTTTCTTTCACCCTATGCCCCTGTTACCTAGCAGTAAAATAGGTACCTGGGTGTTAGTCAGCTGTCACGGGCTGCTTCCTGGGGGTGGAGGCCTGGTCGAGGACCAGGCTCCGGGGACACTAAAAAGCCCCGAAATCATCTCAAGATAACCTCATGATCTCATCCAAAGCTGTTGCACCATATCACCTCACCCAAATGCGAGTATAAGTATGACAGATTAGCATGTTTAGTTTACACACACAACTGTAACCTGTAAAGTCTTTGAAAATGTAATAAGTTATTACGAAACGCACTCAAGGGTCACGTCTGACTTGAAATAATATATATATATATATATATATATATATATATATATATATATATATATATATATATATATATATATATATATATATATATATATATGCTTTTTATCTCCTCACCAAATGCCTATCCCTTCCGAGGCTAACCTACTTTCTGAGGTGCGCCCCATCTTACAACAACCCAAAGCTTGACGAGTATGACCTCCTACTGAAGACCATGCTGGAAAAAGTTGTTAACCTCTCTCTCAACGAATGCCAGTGGAAACAAGCCACTCTTCCTGTCAGGCTCGGTGGCTTGGGTGTCCGCACCGCCACCCAAATTGCAGTCCCAGCCTTCCTGTCTTCCTCCTCAGCATCAGATGACCTGGTTAAGGAAATTCTACCTGACACCCTGAGTGATGTAGCGGGGATACAGGACCCCCACTACACGGAATGTGACACGAAATGGGGTGCCATGACAGACCCAGCACTCAGACCAGCCATGCCGAAAGCCAAGAAACAATCCAGTTTGGACAGCCCCATTGTAGACAAAGAAGCCACAGCTTTGCTGGAGGCAGCAACAACCCCCAGTGATCGTGCACGCCTCACAGCTGTGCAGGCTCCCCATGCAGGGGACTTCCTTCTGGCAGTCCCTATGTCTGCGACAGGCACACGTCTTGATCCGCAGGAGCTCTGTATTGCAGTCGCTCTCCGCCTTGCTGCCCCTATCCACACTGTTCACAGGTGTATTTGCGGCGAGGCAGATGCTGACGAATATGGATTGCATGGCCTGCACTGTGGAAAATCGGGTGGTTGGCACACTAGACACGACGAAGTCAACGACATCATTAAAAGAAGCCTTGCCTCTGCTCAGTGTCCAGCGGAGAGAGAGCCCCGCAACCTACTGAACCGTGACTCTGTTAGCTTTGCCGGCCGACCAAACGGAATCACACTGCGTCCGTGGAAGGGTGGCAGGCAGTTAGCATGGGACTATACTTGCGTATCCACCCTGGCAACGACATACATCACCCTCTCTGCCGGCACGGCAGGAGCCGCAGCGACACACAGAGAAAAACAAAAGTCAGTCAAGTACAGGCAATTAGATCAAAGGTATAATTTCGTTCCAATAGGGTCTGAGACCCTAGGCCCATGGGGTGAGAGTGCAAGAAGGTTTCTTAAGGATCTTGGTTCCAAGCTCATTGACACCACAAGAGACCCTAGAGCAGCAAGTTTTCTCTTTCAGCGCCTCAGTGTCGCGATCCAGAGGGGAAATGCCCGCTGCATCCTCGGTTCCTGCCCGGCGTCGGAGGAGTTCGAGGAAATCTACAGCCTCTAGGAAGCGAACTTTTTCTTGTGTCCTCTTAATGTTCATTTTTTGTATAAAATCAGATATGTAACTGTATAACCTTGCATAATATATATATATATATATATATATATATATATATATATATATATATATATATATATATATATATATATATATATATATGCGAACAAGCCTGAATGGTCCCCAGGACATATGCAACTGAAAACTCACACCCCAGAAGTGACTCGAACCCATACTCCCAGAAGCAACGCAACTGGTATGTACAAGACGCCTTAATCCACTTGACCATCACGACCGGACATAATGAGGTGATAGCCGAGGCTATATGAACCACCCCACCGCCGGCACTCGGATAGTTATCTTGGGCATAGCATTTTACCAAATCACCTCATTCTTTGGGGCACACGTGAGGAACACAAATGCGAACAAGCCTGAATGGTCCCCAGGACATATGCAACTGAAAACTCACACCCCAGTTTTCAGTTGCATATGTCCTGGGGACCATTCAGGCTTGTTCGCATTTGTGTTCCTCACGTGTGCCCCAAAGAATGAGGTGATTTGGTAAAATGCTATGCCCAAGATAACTATCCGAGTGCCGGCGGTGGGGTGGTTCATATAGCCTCGGCTATCACCTCATTATGTCCGGTCGTGATGGTCAAGTGGATTAAGGCGTCTTGTACATACCAGTTGCGTTGCTTCTGGGAGTATGGGTTCGAGTCACTTCTGGGGTGTGAGTTTTCAGTTGCATATGTCCTGGGGACCATTCAGGCTTGTTCGCATTTGTGTTCCTCACGTGTGCCCCAAAGAATGAGGTGATTTGGTAAAATGCTATGCCCAAGATAACTATCCGAGTGCCGGCGGTGGGGTGGTTCATATAGCCTCGGCTATCACCTCATTATGTCCGGTCGTGATGGTCAAGTGGATTAAGGCGTCTTGTACATACCAGTTGCGTTGCTTCTGGGAGTATGGGTTCGAGTCACTTCTGGGGTGTGAGTTTTCAGTTGCATATGTCCTGGGGACCATTCAGGCTTGTTCGCATTTGTGTTCCTCACGTGTGCCCCAAAGAATGAGGTGATTTGGTAAAATGCTATGCCCAAGATAACTATCCGAGTGCCGGCGGTGGGGTGGTTCATATAGCCTCGGCTATCACCTCATTATGTCCGGTCGTGATGGTCAAGTGGATTAAGGCGTCTTGTACATACCAGTTGCGTTGCTTCTGGGAGTATGGGTTCGAGTCACTTCTGGGGTGTGAGTTTTCAGTTATATATATATATATATATATATATATATATATATATATATATATATATATATATATATATATATATATATATATATATATATATATATATATATATATATATATATATATATATATATATATATATATAGCCTATACTTGCATAAACCACAAGTGAAGATTAATAATCTTTGGACAACACCCACCAGTGGGACTCGAACCCAGAAAGCACAACTACCTTCCAGTAGCTGGCATAACTAGTATGCTTTAACCCACTACACCATCAGACCTTACAAAAGAAGTAGATAGTTCGAGATATATATCCCAAACATCTCCACTTCCCGAAGGCACCAGATGAGTGTGGGGTCAGTCTGCATTTTCCATCAAGCCACTGTCAATGTGAGAGAACTCGTGTCCAGCTTATAAGCCTATACTTGCATAAACCACAAGTGAAGATTAATAATCTTTGGACAACACCCACCAGTGGGACTCGAACCCAGAAAGCACAACTACCTTCCAGTAGCTGGCATAACTAGTATGCTTTAACCCACTACACCATCAGACCTTACAAAAGAAGTAGATAGTTCGAGATATATATCCCAAACATCTCCACTTCCCGAAGGCACCAGATGAGTGTGGGGTCAGTCTGCATTTTCCATCAAGCCACTGTCAATGTGAGAGAACTCGTGTCCAGCTTATAAGCCTATACTTGCATAAACCACAAGTGAAGATTAATAATCTTTGGACAACACCCACCAGTGGGACTCGAACCCAGAAAGCACAACTACCTTCCAGTAGCTGGCATAACTAGTATGCTTTAACCC